GAAGCACCTGACATGTCTATCAAAGCTGCTATCTTCATGCTTCTGATCAGCACCGGTCTCGTTGCTGTCTGCGCCGACTTCATGAGTGACGCTATCGAGCCCATGGTTGAGAGTTCTGGTATTAGCCAAGCGTTTATCGGTCTTATCATTCTTCCCATTGTTGGCAACGCTGCAGAGCACGTCACTGCAGTCACTGTCGCGATGAAGAACAAGATGGATCTTTCTATCGGTATTGCTGTCGGCTCTTCCATCCAGATCGCTATCTTCATCACACCTGTCATTGTTATCCTCGGTTGGATCATGGGCAAGGAGATGACACTGTACTTCAACATCTTCGAGACTGTTGCACTATTCGTCACAGTTCTGGTGGTGAACTTCTTGGTACTGGATGGTCGCAGTAACTATCTCGAAGGTAGTTTACTGATCGCTGCCTATATCATCATTGCGCTGGCCAGTTTCTTCTACCCCGACGGTTGTGAGGCCAGTGCCATCGGTGGCAACGAGGACCGCTGCAACAACGGTGAGGTTGCCCGATTGGCGCAGGGCATGGTCAAAAGGATGATTGGCATGTAGCGCCAACATCGATAGTCAAGAACCTTGAAGCCTGAGTAACATCGGATTTCAGCATGAGTTCTTGGTCTATGCGGTTGCTTTTGTGATCAGACGGTTGAGTGGCATGGTGTGATGTCCGCTCCCGTATAGAGACTTTCCAGAGCGTCTCATTTCTTTCTATTGCGATAGCATACAGTCCTTACAGACACCTAATATCTTATTACCTCAGGGGTCCTCAAATTGAAACATACTATTGGTTCAGATGAGCCTGCCTCACACCACTGCCAGTGCCTTTTCCGTGCGTGTTATGAATTCCGTGATCGTGACTCTCTCAGATCCAATGCACTTGTTGCTGATGTGAGGAAAACCAACCGCGCCAGTCGAGGGGTCATTTTCGGGCGCCCTGCCAAGAGATTTTGGCGTCTGCCTAACCCGCTCCTTTGACATACAGGGAACACTTAGCGAACTCAGCCACCAAGCTTCGACGCTCTCTGCCCTTTTCGCTGCTGATCTTTCAACATGTATATCGTGCATTCTGTCGATCGAGGGTCGAACAAAAGCCCGAAGTCATCCTCGCATCGCGTCGAATATCGCGACACATCCCGTCTACAAGATCCCTGCTTACCTGCAAGTTGACGAGCCGATACAGCGCAACTCTGTCCTTTTGTATGCATAGTACAGCATGGTCAGTCGCGGTGGTCGTTCGAAAGGTTGCGCAAATTGTCGTCGTCGGCGTGTGAAATGTGGTATGTCCGTTCACCTGGTCAACCTTTGCGGAGACCTGCTGCATGTGCTGACATGACAAGACGAAAACCGCCCCGAATGTGGACAATGCATCAAGCGTGGACTCAAATGTCAAGGACCCAAAGATCTAACTTGGATCAACGAGAGTATCACGTTGGAAAGCAAGCCGACAAACACAACCCAGAACGCAATTGTCAAGATAGCGAGTCCGAACCAGCTATCTCTCGCAGCCTTTGAAGACGATATCTGCTTAGCATATACGCGAAAAAACCTGCTACGCGGTGGACCTGTTGAGATAGCCTGCAACATGATCGAGAGCCATGCCGCATCCATGAGAAATGACGACCCTGGCCTTGATTTATTGCGAAAAGGCATAGTGAGCCTGTCTACCACCTTCTTCGGTAGCCAGCATCGACAAAGTGACATCACGACTAAAGGCTATCAAAAGTATGGGAAGGTGCTGCGACAGCTCAACTCACATCTTGCTCGATCAGAGCTTCAGACGACGAACGAGACACTCCTCACGGCCCTGTCATGCATGCTTCTCGAAATCTTTTTACCTACTGGACCAACAAATTTTCTGAAACACCTGCGAGGTCTCGACGCCATTGCAATGCTACGAGGCCCGCCCAAGGAGTCTGAAGGCATCAACGCTATCATCTTTCGGGGCCTGCGCATTCTTTCCATCGTTGGGGCACTTGCGGAATCCAGGCCCTCCATATACGCTACCGAAGAGTGGAAGCGAATTCCATCTGCGCATTCCAACGAGTCGGGACTCTTCCAACACCACGTTTTCTCCATCTTGGCTGACTGCACCCGCCTCATCAGCCAGCGAAATGCTCTACTGCACTCGAAAGCATGTCCAGAGAGCTTTGAATCCTTGCTCACTGAAGTGGAGGATGTGCTTAATAACTTGGAAGCGCTACGTCCGTTCTGGGAGGTCTTGAACCGGAATCAACTAGCTGAAACGACTGAGCGATCTTACATGGCGAAGACACTGGGAGTGGCAAACCACGTCTCCGCAACAGCATTGATGCTTTACAACACCGCATACATATGCGTCATTCAGATCAAAGATTCACTATCTCCATCGCCTGTCAACGCCGCATTGCGAAACGCCGCCGCGATGAAGATCGCCAGATGCCTGGAATTGAAAGAGTACGAGCAGCGTGAAGGTGCACCGCAGTCCAATACTATAGCCTTCGTAGCTATCAAGGTAGCCTGGCAAGCTTTGGGTGGGTTCAACTCCCCGGAAGGACAGCGCTTAGCACATACTGTCAAGTCTGCCACCAATTCCGTCTTCTCACGAGCATCTACGCTGTCTGATGCGTCGCCCTTTGCCCATTATGTTGAAGAGTCGCTATTCTCGAAATTCCTTGGTAGGATACCTCTTATAGCACCGGATGGCGCGGCGTGTGTTGGAAACGAGTTCGGCTTGTGGCCTGATGGGCCTCCAGGGGTCATCGAATTCAGCATGCAACAGCTAAGCACGCCCTCCTAGTTCTTTTCAGAGACCACACTCGCGCCGCTCTAGTGTGGTGCAGCTACTGTATGTAGCCGGTACGAGATTAGCAGCGGTCGACAGGAATCCATCCTTAAGATGCGATGTCGCAGTACATTACACGGACACGCCACTCCCAATATACATCAGAAGACTTCTTCCACCGCCTTCTGGACCTCTATATTAATTTCGCGGCATGTCACGCGGCTCCACATGGCGTGTTTCCAAGCTTCCCCGGATTTAGACATTAGCCGGCGGGAATCTGAGAAATGAAACGCGGCGAATTTACATCTGAACGCGCTCCGGGCGAACGGCGCATCTTCATTGATGTGATGTCAATCCAAGAGGATCTTGAGCGACGTTCAACACAGGCGGATCTGGTTCCCTGGGTGTTCGCATTGACACAGAGTTCATGCCTCACCTAGCTTGGCCAGAACATCGGCACACTGACAGGTGTCACCAAACATCCGAGCTTCTACTATAGCAACTACCGGACAGGGTTTCTCGCCGCCTCCGATGACCCGGTTCAAGCAGTTTAAGCATGTCGTCTACCATAAACGAGCCAAGAGCCCCTAAGCTTCACGGGAATGACCTCAGGACAGCGGGCGGGGCCTTGGCGTTTATACATAAGATGGAGGGCATTGGCCTACAATGTGAGCAGTTCGAAACATCAGTCGTTCAAACAGTCGTTCTTTCATCAACATGGGTGTCAAGTCTTTCATTGTCGCGGCCTTTGCTGCGGTTGCCATCGCTGGACCGATTCCCGAACCCCTCGACATGATGAAGCGGGCTGGGCCTGCTGCCGGACAAGTCATCACCAAGTGCGCCAACCCTGGTCAAATCGCCCTTGCCTACGATGACGGCCCATCTCAATACACTCAGAAGCTCGTCGACACTCTGACCGCTGGTGGAGCTAAGGGTACTTTCTTCGTTACTGGATCGCTCTACGGTATGCACATGCTCCATGTCCTACCATATGAAACCACCATCTAACAAGAACAGGCTGCATCTACAACCAAAAGAGCGCCCTCCAGAACGCCTACAAAGCGGGTCACCAAATCGCGTCCCACACCTGGTCCCACCCCTCGAACTTCGGTTCCCTCTCCACCAACGACCTCACGTCGCAAATGACGCGCCTCGAGCAAGCCCTCGTCAACATCATCGGCGTAAAGCCCACCTACATGCGCCCGCCTTACCTCGCCACCGGCGGCAACGTGCTCCCCACGATGAAGACCCTCGGCTACCGCGTCATCACCGACGACGTCGACTCCGGCGACTGGAACGGCAAGACCCCCCAGCAGAGCCAGCAGGTGTTCCAACAGGCTGGTACCAGTGGCAACGGCCACATTCCTCTCATGCACGAGACTTATGCCAGCACGGTTAACACGCTTACCCCGTGGTTGATTAACTGGGCGAAGAACAATGGTCTTAAGATGGTTACGGTTGCTGAGTGCCTCGGTGATGCTCAGGGTGCTTACAAGAGTGGTACTCCTAACGGTCAGGGTACCTGCTAGATCCGTTGAATCGGGGATGAGCTGCTGTGCTGCATGTACTTATCGCATTGCTCGATGCGGAAGGAATGGCCGGTAGGAGAGAATGTTGGTGAACTTTGATTAGTGTACATATTTACTTCTAGAAAGACGCTTTTGCGAGAACAGGATTTCTGCTTCAACCACATGTTTATGATTTCGAGCTTCCCGAGGTCGTGTCTGACAGATCACGTGCCCTGACGGTGCCTTCCTTCCCTACCTAGGTAGGTAAGTAGGTGCGTCATCACTATCCGTGCACCTCTTCTCCCCACCAACGAGTGCGACTTCATCGACGAACGATCATTATGCCTTCATCTATTCCAGATGCTGCATACGCTCCCACCTTCCCGAATACTCCTCCGGTGGTGCGAAACGCGCTTCCATATGGCTTTGAACACACTGCACAGCGTGATGTCTCTCGCCATGCGCGGCATGATATCCAGCAAACCTCCCTTTACCTTAATCACCTAGATTCTGAAGTTCTCTCATCTTATCTCGACTCACTCACTCTCATCTGGGACTCTCTCACCCACAAGCGCTCTTGCCGAAGTCAGCTTCTAGGCGACTCTATGCCTCGCATATAAGACTTCTTTTCCTCAACACCATCTCTGGATTTCTGCACCCCACTGGGTTAACTTCGACTAGCCCTTCAACGACTACCTTCCAGCAAAATCATGATGGATCTGTTGGACCTTCCGCCGGAGATCTTCCAGAAGATCATCGCCAACCACGTTAAGAGTGTTGGAGTCAGCAAGGCATGGAGGCGCCGCGATGTCTGCAGTGAGTGTCATCTTATGAACTCACGACATCAACTTATTGGATCTAGAAACATTCGCCGCCTTCCTCTCTGAAGAGTGCTTTGGCAGACAGCCTATGACCAAGTACGCGGACCCGGCAGCCAGACGATTACTCTGCCGGCACGCAGAGCTGTTCTTTTCGTACCGATGCAGAAGCTTGTACGGAGCTCCGAAACTCCTACCCAGTCTCGTTCGCAACGTCGTTGAAAAATTCATGACTACTACATCACAAACATCGGAGACTGACCGGGCAGCCTACACGGACCGGGTTTGCCACGCCATCGTCAATCACCTTCCTAAGGGCCGGCTGTTCCAACTCGCCACCAAACCCACCCTCCTCATGTGTGACAAATTCGCCAGCGATCCGGTCGAAATCTTTTGCTTAACGATCGCCATCTTGATGAAAGACAAGGAACTTGTCTCCCACTACCTCTCTCAAGGCGTCTCCGTATGGAACAGCACCGAAGTCTTTGATATGCCTCTCACTGTCGCTGCAAAACTCGGAGCTGTCGACTTCGTGGCTCAGCTCTTGAAGCACGCAAAGAGCAGTCTTACAAAGTCAGCGAAGGCCAAGTCGATGATGCAGCTTCGATACACCCTCGATATCACTACCACTTCTGGACACTGGGATGTTGCCATTATCATTATAGACTGGTGGTTTCAGCATCTTCGTAAGCCTGTACCCAATCAGATAGCATCGTGGGTCATGAGGGCTACTAGTGCTCCTACGACTGAGTTTCTCCACCGCATAATGGACCATAACCATACCCCCGCAACGAAACGCCAGCTAGTGGAATGTCTCTACTATTCTCACATGAAAACAGAGAATGATGCCATGAGCCGTCTCGCTGGGGCTTTGATCGATCGAAATCTCTTGGATCCTTCGAAATTCTATCTGAATCGTTCAGCCGCAGTCTCCAGCTCCGGCTCTCTCTTGACCCTAGCAGTTGAGAGAAGCGACATAAAACTTGCTACAGGGTACCTGAAGCTTGGTCTGAGTCCAAATGGTCTGCGAAACCCAGAAGGCAACCTCGAGCATCCTCTGGTCCGAGCCGTGGAGAAGAGCGACGAGGCCATGGTCAAGTTCCTCCTTGATCATGACGCCGATCCAAAGCCAGCGCAACGTTGGATTGTCAACGGTCCTGAAAAGCCCGTCACGAGCTTTCTGGAACAATTACGTCGTGTCAGGCTACGAGGAAAAAGGACCACCGAGAGCATTGCAGCACTGATACGCCAGGCCGCCAAAGCCAAAGACCGGAGAAGGAAATAGGCTTTCGCCGACGCCTAGCCATGTTCGACAACATCTCCAGCACTCATATGCAGTATGACGGTTTTGCGATCCATGACAACTGCGACAAGAGTTCTTCCCTTGGGATTCTGCACATCATTTGCGCTCTCTCAAATTCTCACGTTTCTGCTCATGTCCCGGGATGTCTCTGACGTCTCAAAAGCTATTTTCTTCTTCTGCCGTCCTTACCTTTCTATTCTCAGCATGCGAATCCACGAATCCATCAAACTCAACAAAAGTACTTGCTTTCTTCTTTTCTTTGTCCACGCGCAGTGGGCTTCAACTCTCACTCTCCATAGCTTTCATCAATGCAATACACCATCCACCTCTGACAAACACTCTACCAATTGCGCTACTGTGACCCACAATCCAGTTAAAGCACCCTATTTAGGTGAGAAACTGAACATCGTGAGGCCTGAATTAACGCTACATCTTCTCAGTCGCCTGTTGTTGGCCTGATATAGGCTGCACGCTGCAGGCCTGTTCATTGTTTTCCTTGTATGAGGCGATAGCCTGCCTGGAGTCCCGGACGCAAATTGACAATGAAGGCTCACAGGCGGGTCACAATAAGTTCAAGCAGATGAAGTTTTTGAACTTTACAATGGATATTTCTGTCGCCAGCCTACTCTTGCAGACCAGGCGAACAATACTGTTACAAAGCCAATGCGCACTTGTCCATGCTACAAAAGCCACGACACCATACGCATGCTTACGTCTAGAGTGGAATGAAACCCTTTGAATCATCGCCAAGCACTCCTCCATGTCATAAAACCATGCCACAATGCACCTTGGAAAGAAAAAAACGAGATCGATAAAACTACATCTTCAGCCACCATCACCTCCTGGCATCCAGGTCCTTGAAAGTCGCTGGGCTGGGAGGAACCAATGGGCCCTTGACACCATCGTTGCCTTGCGGCTCGATGTATCCAGGCGCCTTGCCATACTCACCAGAGAAGTACTTGTGGAAATCTTGGCTGTCCTCGAAGGGACGGGGTCCAAGTAGCCTGATCATGTCTTCGCGGCCGAGCATCTCCTTCTTGAGGAGCTCCTCTGCTACGAGGCCGACTTCGTGCTTCTTCTCGGTGAGGAGGTCCTTGCATTGCTTGTAGGCTTCGTCGACGATGCGCTTGACCTCCATGTCGATGTTCTTGGCGGTGTCTTCGGAGAAGGGCTTGGTGAGTTGTTGGCCCTCGCCGTCTTCGAAGTAGATGTATCCGATCTTCTTGCTCATGCCCCATTTGCTGACCATGGCGGTGGCCATGGCGGTCACCTTGCGGAAGTCGTCGGATGCGCCGGAGGTGACGGTGTCGAAGTGGAGCTCTTCAGACACACGGCCACCTAGTGTCATGGCCATGCGGTCCATCAGCTGGTTGACGTTCATGAGGTATGTGTCGCCGTTGGGGAGGTACTGGGCGTATCCAAGAGCGCCTTGGCCACGGGGAATGATGGAGACCTTCAGGAGAGGGTCGGCCCACTTGAAGTACCAACCGCAGATAGCGTGGCCGGCCTCGTGGTAGGCGACGGTCTTCTTCTCCTCGGGCTTCAGGACGAGGGACTTCTTCTCGAGACCTCCGATGACACGCTCGATGGCTTGCTCGAAGTGTACCATGGCAACAGTCTCGGCATTAGCACGGGCAGCTACGTATTGTTAGTAGATGTGCGATTACGAGGAGCGTCACTACGTACCAATCAAAGCAGCTTCGTTGACACAGTTGGCAATGTCGGCACCAGAGAAGCCCGGTGTCAAAGCTGCTAGCCTACCCTTCAAGAATTCCATGTCTTCGTTGGTGACAATCTTCGCCAGATGGACACCGAAGATCTGTCCTCGTCCGTCCATGGTAGGCTTGTCGATGCTGATGTGCCTGTCGAAACGACCAGGTCTCATAAGCGCTTTGTCCAATACATCAGGTCGGTTAGTACCAGCCAACACAACAACTTGCTCAGTGGTGTTGAATCCGTCCATCTCTGTCAGGATCTGGTTGAGAGTAGCCTCGCGCTCGTCGTTGCCACCGCCGAAGTTCTGCTTCGATCGGGCACGACCAATAGCGTCGATTTCGTCAATGAAGATGATGCAAGGCGTACTCTTGCGCGCATTGGCGAACAAGTCGCGGACACGCGATGCACCAACACCGACGAACATCTCGACGAACTCAGAACCACTGACACTGAAGAAAGGAACGCCGGACTCTCCTGCGGTCGCCTTGGCAAGAAGCGTCTTACCAGTACCCGGGGATCCAGATAAGATAGCACCACGAGGGATCTTGGCGCCGAGCTTCTGGAATCGACTGGGGTCTTTGAGGAAAGAGACGAACTCCATGATCTCTAGCTTGGCCTCGTCCATACCGGCGACATCTGAGAACTTGACCTTGACGTCCGTCTCGTGGTTGAACTTCTTGGCGCGACTCTTACCCATGCCGAACACACCACCGCCTCCGCCAGCGCCGCCTCCCGCACGTCTTGTAAAGTAGAAGAGCGCACCAAGGACGAGGATGGTGGGACCGAAGGACAAGAAGGTGCCGAACCAGGAGATCTCGCTCGAGTATGCCACGGGTATGCGTTCGGAGCTTGGGATGCCTAGCTCATACTGCGCGTCGTCCATCTTGCGCTCAAAGGCCTCGACGGAACCAATTGTGAAGTAGTAGTAGAAATTCTGGTTTACGGAAGGCGAGTCGGGGTACATGGACGATACGGCCTCGCGGTGCAGGTAGACCTTCGCTCTGTTGCCGTTCAAGATGACGATCTTCTCCACCAGACCCTTGTCCAGGAAGGTCGTTCGGAACTCCTGCCATGTTATCTCCTTGGAGTTTTCGCTCGGGAAGATGGTCTTGTATGTGAGGTATGCGAGGAAGGCGCTGATGAGGATCGTGTTGGTGTCCATACCGCCGCCGAACATGGGCCCCACTGGTCCACCAGCTCCGCCAGCGCCACCCTTGGATCCCTTGCCTGGGCCTGGGTCGTGTGCACCCGACTTTTGCTGTGGTTCCTCGGAGCCGTCCTTGAACTTCTGCTGATGTTGGTCCGCCGCCTTGCGTGCCATATTGGTTGTTAACCGCGAGATCTTGGCCGCGGTGGCCAGATCCAGCTTCTCGCCTCTCTCCAGCTTGTCCATCTCCTGTCGCAGCTCTGGTGGTATTCCAGTGCGCTTAATCTCGTCCATTGCCTCCTTGATGTTCTGCTTCTGTGACTTGGGGACGCCCATCGACACGAACGAGACTAGTTGATCCAGCATCTTCTCCTCCTCTGGCGTAAGTTTGGCCATTTGAGGCTCTCCCTCCTTCTTTCCAGACAATCTGAACTCAGGCTTGTGAGGCGTGCCGTCCTTCTTCGCTGGCTCGTCATCCTTCTTCTCCTTGGGCTCCTCCGGGGGCCCGGTCGCAAACCTCCGCACTCGTTGCTGGGTATATATGCATTGTGGTATCGGTGCTCGTGTGCGTAATGTGCGTGGTGCCCTCGTGGCAACGTTGAGGCAGGGTCGGGATAGGCGCGCTAGGTTGCCTGGGCGGCGGAGGAGTGTCGACATGGCGGCGGAACAGAGGTGCCGGGACTGCGGGGTGGGGTATAATATAACAATGGAATGGGATATGTGACAAGTAAAGAAGAGTGACTGTATTACCGCGCCTGTTCACTGCCTCGGGCTGGCAGTAGAAGAATGTCTTGTGGCGGGTGCGCTTCGATGGCGAAAGCTAGGATATGACAGAATCATCGAAGTTCTACCCATGCCACCGACACGCCGACCGCCTTACTAAGCGGGGCTGCCTGCCCGCATTACGCGTGAACATGTGCCAGAGTCTAGAACCACGCCTTGACTCGATTGTTTCTTTTGCTTTTGAGCTCTTATATTTCCGCCTCAATGCTCTACAAGAATGTGCGGTACGTGTAGACACCAATTGCCTCCTTCTAGAGTAGGTTCCCTGCTTCGGTCCGACCGCCACGCGTATTCATCTCCATGTCCAAGAGACGCGCAAGTAGGAATTCAAGTGATAATACAGTAAAGTCTCTGATCAGCGCACTACAATACATGTGACATCCAGATCTCATGTAAAGTTCGCACCCGAACAACTCCGTCAAGCCACTGCATGTAGATCATGCAGATGCACGATACATGCACCGACCGACTAGTTCCATCATCCATCCTGGCCCGGGGCGATTACCATGGGTCGTCAGCCCGCAGCTATAGCGCACGAAAGCACCAACCTTATTCACACGCAGTCAGCGCCATGTTTATTCATCCGGGCCGGTATAATAGACACACAAGGTCTTCGAACTGCCAAAGACTTCCATTTCCCAATCAATCCCACCATAGCAATGCGTCGCTCTGTCATAACCTTCGCTGCGCTCACGTTCTCCTCTCTCATATCCGCCCAAGCACCCAATGCTTCAAACGCTACCTACCTGACTGCACCTGCTTTAGTCACCACACCTGAGAACACCACCACCATTCAATGCTGGCGCCTGAAATACCCTTTTACAGTATCTACAACAGCAGGGACCGCGGGAAGCCGTGCCATAGCATTAGGCAATGTGACGAGTCTAGGCTATGTCATCCAGCCACCGCGATTTGACGGCGGATTGCATAATGCGCCTACAACACAGTGAGTAGATTGGCTGTACGCTGAGCTGCGCTGACACTTTGAAGAATCGTACACTTCCTATCTGGACTCGCGCGTATCACTTTACCCCAGGACCCGTCTCAGGAGCTGTGGTTGCCTGGGGGTAAGGGCGGTCTGGTGGTCGCTGCGGATACAACGGGCAAGGGACACATAACGACTTATCCGAGTGACCAAGACACAGTCGCCATTACTGCACCTTTTGACGATGGTGTGGTTCCACAGTATGAAGTGATCAACGAAGGGCCGTGTATGGGGCGACAGACGTTCATCTAGTAGACTAGGAATGCGATGCGATTGAAAAGAAGGTGCATGTTGGTTGTACAGTCTATTCGTTGGCTCGATGCAAAGAGAATTGTAGTGTTCCGCTTCCTTCCTCCAACTCCTGGTGCTATACACCCTCCTTCATCTCTTATTATACATCCGCTTACTCCTCGTCGCCGAACATGGCACGGCCAGTCTTGGAGTTGAGGAACTCGTTCCTGATGTCATTGTCAGCCTGCCATTCAATGCACCTTTACCCATATATGATCCTGCTGTTCCTGGTAACATCCATTGACTCACCTCTCGATAGCCCACTGCATGGTACCGTATGCGATAGCCAGAGGGGGGATGAAGTAGAGGACCTGGTTCCTTGAGCGGCGCATGACGTTCCAGAAGCCCTTGCCGATGAAGGTAGCCATAGGGCGCTGTCGGTTAGGGCTCAAGGCGTAGGTGACGACGCCCTTGCCGGGGCGGCCACCACCCTCGTAGGGGTTACCCCATGAGCCGATGTGCCAACTATGCCACTGTCAGCATGATCTCCTTCCTACTCCGATGGGTGTGCGATGCGAGGCGGGTCGAAGAACGGATTCTTTTGGGGAAGGTGGCCGGGGCTGCGTGCGGGTGGAGCGCGGACGTACGTGGTCTTGGTCTTTGCGAGGGTTTCAGACGGTCCCATAGCCATTTTGACGGTGTGAGAGTTGCGTGTGGAGGTGCAATGCGTGGGCGGCGGCGTTGACGTTGCTGTCAGAAAGCTGCGAGCGGTGCTGGGATGCCAAGCCTTTCCTGCTAGCACCGAATGCGGCAAGGCGCGGCAAGAGCGAATAACACCAACCTGATTGGCCCCTCACCCCCGATACAACCCTCTCGAACATTCACCTTCTTATTACCGGGCTGGAGGAGCTTTCACATGACGGCGACTACCTCGTGATGTATGGTCACTTATCCAAGCCCGTAATCACGCGGCTGCGAATGTTCCTACGCGTCTATTGGTCTGGACCGTCGACGCAATATCGTAAGATCAAACCGGATAGCCATCACAGAAGACAACGGAAACCCAGGATTGGAGTGCGCATCTGGACCTTGAAACTAAGTTGTAGTTGTATCCGACCACAGTTCCAATAGATCGGCTATCATTGCGTCAGCGACGGCATACCCGCGTTGCAGCACGCTACGAAACAAATCCAAGACCTCGTGCATGTCATGAGCATCCCGGACACGCGCTCCTGCGACCCTCAAAGGAAAAAGCAGTAGCACACCCGCAACCCCATTAGCCAGCAACTTGCGACTCAGGCAAAGGATTTGACGCATGTGCCACTCGACCTGAGAGCGAGCTAGAATCGGCGCACATGGTGCTATTGGCTTGGTCCAATGTACATGATAGTCGTAAGTGCCCGAAAGGTAGATGCTAATGGCGTGGTAGTATATGTGAGCCACGAGAAGCTCTGAGTCTGATGCGCCTGATGCATGCTGCCAGCAATTGCTGAGCTCCCACCATTCATGCAAGGATTGCTGAAGTAGCAAGCCTTCAGCAGCAAGGTACTGTGCACGCTCAGCTTGCATTTCCTCTGTCAGATGATCTGCTTCAAATTCACAGAAGTGGATAGCACGTATACTCAACTCCGAAAAGCTGGGCAAAATGTCGAAGAGCGCTTCTTTCGGGTGCCAGAGTGCTGCACCTTCGCCACTCCAGAGCTCTGCTAGTGCGGTAGTCCACACAGGCTGACTGAGAAAAGTCGGTTCAGAGTAGATCAAGGCCCTCGATATCTCGAATATACGGGCTGAAAGGAAGAAGTTACGCTTCTGTGTATTGTCTTGGTCTTGAAGAGCAAGGCATGAAGGTGGTTGGAGCCGCAAGATTGCGCAAGTCCCGTGCAGGAAGTGCGAGAGCCAGTTGGTCCCGCTGGCATCGCACATTAGCTAAGCCATGTTAGCCGTTGTCACCTCCTATATGGGGTTGGCGCTTACCTCGAAAAGGCCGAGCAGAAAGGTCGTCCACAGTGTTGATGGATCGTCCGCAAACTTGTTGTGGGTAATGCGGGCTTGGACACTTCTCACGGATCCTACGTAAAGCTGCATCGCGCTCTGGCGTTCTCCAGGGTCCTTGGTCCCTGAAACTTCCCACTGGGTCCGTTGACATCGGTGCAAGGCGGCTACTGCACAGAGAGCATCCCTCAGAGCGATCGAAGAATGCATCATGCTTTTCAACTCCTTTTGCAGTAGTAGACCACCACTGGAAAGGACATTCATCGGTAAGAAGGAGCTGAAAAAGTACGCCATGTTTTGCTCAGTTCTCCCTGGACTAATTGGCGATTGTGGCTGAAGCTGCTTCTCGGCCCCCGGGTTGACGAAGACAAAACTCGAAACTGCCGACCTCGTGGGCACCACACACGCTTGTCTTCTCCCTTTGCAGTAATCGCAAGGAACGCCGCCGTTACACTATAACCAATTAGTGCTGGCAGACTTGGTAGGGTTGAATCACTTGCTTTGATTTTGCGCTTAACACAGGCTTCGCACCTTTTCCGTCTAGCCTTACGACCATCATACGGCCCGATGCTGGGTGACATGTGTGGCGCTTGTGCGAAGGTAAGATGTGTAGCGACAGAGGCAGATTGCTAATGCAAGGCAAGCGATGAGGTGTCGTCTATCACAGCACCGGGGATTTGCAGGATGTCGTAAAAAGATGCTTTGGGAAGTGGTATCGCGTCGCTGAAGGACGAAGTATACGAGCAACGGGCCCACTAGAGGCGGTGCCAGCTAACTTGACCATGTTAGGAAATGAAATAACGCATCTAGACTTCCTTGGGACTAGAGGCCAATGGCACCGACAAGCCGCCGAGCGATGTCATCTCCACTACCCATGTCGGTCGAAAATGCGGCTCTGCTGCACTAGCACTAGCAAGAGAACCGGAGTATAGTTGTATCCACTTTCATGTCCGCTTTTGGTCACGATAGAGCGTCCGGAGGAGGGTCGAGCATCTCATGCAAGTAGATGCTAACACCCAGCCAAAACTATAGATACCACTCCTGCACTCGAAGAATTTGGTTCTCAGCACCTTCCTCTGCATTCGCTTCCAACTCTCAAAGATCCCACATACTATCTCCACCGTCATCAACTATCGAAATCATGGGACTTCGCACCTCAGTTCTGCTGGTACTTCTGGCATCCTCGCCTGGCCTTACATTTGCCAAAACTACACTTCCAATCGTCGCCTCTCATCATCAAGATGTGATGATTGCTTCCGCCTCACTGACCGACCATACTCGCTCAGATCCATACGCGAACGATGGCCGCCTTCGGTCTATCATGGTATCCGGCTTCTACCCCACCACCCAATGCCGTCGCAAAAAGATCGAACCCTACATGCCTCCCGCAACGGCATCTTTCATGGACACCAAATTCGGTGCATATGGTCTTCCCAACGGCAGCTTCCAATCACTAGACCTCAAGACCTGCATGACTCTAGCGAAACGAGGCGGTTGCTCGAAAGACTTGCCAGTTGTGCTCTTCTCAGGCGCACTCGCTACATCTCGACACCTGTACAACGCGATGCTCCAGAACATCGCGGCTACTGGTTACATAGTGCTCTCCATTGACCATCCCTACGATGCAGATATGGTTGAGTTCCCGGGTGGCACCATAGTGACGGGTGTCGATATTGAGAGCGATGCCGAGATTGAGCTTGCACTCAACACACGAGTCGCCGACATCGAATTCGTCTCCAAGCAAATGAAGAACGCCTCAGCCATCATGGAGCTACTCCCGGGATATGTGAGCTCCAAGAAAGCGCCCAAAATGGCTGTTATCGGACATTCCCTAGGAGGCGCAGCAGCTGCCAGCGCGATGATGTCAATGACTTCCCTCAAAGGCGGAGTCAACCTCGACGGCTCCATGTTCGGTTCTGTGTTAACGACCGGCTTCAACGGCCCCTTCATGCTGATGGGTCACGAAAACAAGACACAAGAGACTGATCCCTCCTGGAAGACCATCTGGCCAAACCTCACTGGCTGGAAGAAGGAGTTTGAAGTCAAGCGCTCAGCGCACTACAGCTTCTCGGATCTTCCCTTGGTCATTTCTGCATTGGGTCTGGATGGGAAGTTGCCAGCGCAGGTTGGAGAGCTTCTGGGTTCTATTGAGGGTCGTAAGATGACGGGCCTTACGACTACGTATGTTGAGGCTTTCTTGGATATGGTATTGAAGGGTGGGAAGGGAAGTGCCTTTACCAAAGCTGGCGGTCGGTTCATTGAGGTTGAGGAGGTGGCTTAGGCGATGAGGAGGAGGATGCGATTGGAGCTGTACCTTGGTTTGGGAGGTACAAGCGACGATGTTAGTATTCTATAGTTATGCCGATAGTTCTTCATTATTAAACCGTAGTGGCCTACCTGAACCTGTCTTAATATCGAGTACTTGGTCATAAAGTATACCAAAGCACCATCCCAACGACCAGGACGAACCAAGATCAGGCTGCTCTCTTGGTCAAAGGCGCACTCTATCGTCGTTGCTGTGTTGCACCTGAGTAACCCCTTACTCACAAGAATCGCGTCTAGGGTTTGCCTAATTTGGTGTTAGCGCCGTTGCCGTGCACGAATCCCGGTCTTCAGCAGAACTTCTTTCACGCCACGCATCTCTAACAGCAATAGCGCCCACCAACTCATCAGCTCACCTCCATGATGAGGCTGCCAAAGCCAACCACAAAGCAGCTCAGTTCTGGTGCGCGCGTACCTACTCCAACAACGCATCCGTCCCTGGTTCCCCCTCGCAGCAGATTTAGGAAGAAAAATGCCCCAAAACACTCAAGGTTGCGCACTTTCGACGATAGATCGCCACCGTCAAGTCTGGATAGCCGGAAACAAGAACGCTTTGATGATGCATCATTTCAGCTGTATTTCGAAGAACGACTGGAAGAGCTAGGAGAAGACCTCAAAGCTTTGACACGCAACTCTCCATACTCACTGCTCGCAAGCTTTTCCCGCAACACTAATTCCTTCTACAACTATAATTGGAAAGATTTGCCCAAAAAGCCATGGATTTCGGGAACGACATCCGGGGAGACGACTCGTTCTTTATGCCGAGGCCAGTATCACAAGATGGTAAAGGATGAACATCTGCATAGCCGTAGAGACATCGAACAGAAATGCCCTAAGCTACACAGATACCTTGTAGAGTATCATGACAGTACACGGCAAGCTATCCTTAGCACATTACCACTACGGATAGCTACAGGTGACGCATTGACGACTGCACACCTCCTCGCAAACCGGTATTTTGTGAAACGAGCTCGAGACTTGCGCTCGACGGTCCATAACATTTTTCATAATGCGATGCTCATGAACAAGATGCTCAAAGAACTGGAGAGGACTCGCGCACTATCGGCAGCATCACTACGTGACAGGGACTATTTCCAGATCAAGGTACAATTTCATCGTATGAGGGAAAGCCATCGAGAAGCTTTCCAAAATGTGCGTAGGCAATCGGAACATGTACGGTCGACTGTCGAGCCATCCATTTCAGACTCTGGACTTGGCCTGTGGAAACGTATCTATGCCTTGCCATCACGGTTTCGTGGTTGCCATTGGCTTCAGTTGATTCTCAATCCTCGGGAGACTCAAACATCTCGGCCAAGGCACACCTCCACCTCGACAGAATACAACCCAGCTGGTGCAGCTCGGGCCAAGTCTATTCACCATTTCTTCGGCCATGTTGCTTTTCTTGACAAGCATTCTCAATTATGGCCAGCTTCTATCCTACGTCTCATGCATTACGAAATACGCAAAAGGTTGGGCCGACTGTATGGGCAACGGATGCCGTCTTTCTTAGGCGAGCATTATATGACGACGAGGGCTCGGGCTCATAAAACACTTGTCCATGTTGTTCATGCGCGTGTCGCTCACTGGATCGGAATACGAAAGTTGCAGGCCCAGATTCACACAACTGCAAAGGAGCTGGATGATATGGTTGACGACCTGTTCGACTTTCAAATCTTCCAATATACCAACACATCCGTCCGGGTATCGCAGAGTTTGATTGACAAGAGTCGTGCTAGAGGAATGGAGATGCTGGAACGCGAAGAATCATGAAGACACTAAGTACATGAGAAGGCCGCGATCTGAGTTTAACAGGCGGTTTGAGCGCTACGAGAAGAATGTTAGATCTTTGCAAATCAGCACATGCATCAACTCCATCTGCTCAAACGAGAACTACCCTCGTCAGCATACGCCCTATCGAAGTATCATACACTGTCATGTTGCAGTCCCACCTGGGCATACCTAGGTATTAGAGCCCTATATTCTGCGTAGATCCTTGTTCTAGGGTCGCATACCAAGACATACACACCATTGAGACCGTCACGTGTCGAATGTGACAGCTCATGCCACCTCACGAGCGGTGGCGCGTGGTAGGTGTCAAAGACGACTGAGCAGAAACGATATGGCCGGTTCCTACCGAGATCGTGAGGCACAATCGCATGTACCTGTACTAGCGCAAGCGTATCCACAGAGCTGGTGTTCTTTCCTCCCGATATGTCATTGTACCGCATTTGTAAGTGAAGGATGATCTACGGAGCAGATAACGTGCTGTGACGATACAAGTTGTAAGAAGTGCGGCTATGCGGCGCGCCACCTACCTGCTAATCGGCTTCTTCCAAAATACATCGACATTTGAAATCGTTAGTAAGAACAACAGGAGCGAAAGTGACGTGTGAGGTGCACAACCAGGAGGGCTAGATCCGACGCTTGCCGTGCGATTAAACGTTCTTCCAGTGGTCCCGATGTTTCTAGCGTGATGACGTCACCCGCAGCTGTCGCGCTACATCTATGATATGGAGTGTATCAGCACCAGGCATCAGAAAGCATTCTAGAGAACTTAAGCACTTTTTTTATATCCCAATTACTTTAATCATGGCACCCAAGATCTTCCTGTACGTATATGCATCGCAAAGCTGATCCACCTTACTGACACTTCTTTCCATGCAGCACTGGCGCGACCGGGTACATTGGAGGCGACACCCTCTTTGCGCTGTACGACAAGCACTCTGATTACGAGATTGCGGCTCTTGTACGAACAGGTGAATACTATCCTTCGTGTCATTGACGGTGCACTATGCTGACAATGGTGAAGAGGAAAAAGCAAAGACTGTCACAGAAGCTTTCCCCAAGGTGCGGATCGTCATCGGTGGATTGGACGACTCCAAGACCCTGGAAGATGAGGCAGCAAAGGCAGACGTAGTCATTCGTGAGCCACCCATAGCCTCACTCAGCCATAGAGTCGACACTAACAATCGCAGACACCGCAGATGCATCCGATCACGAAGGCGCCGCAAAGGCCATCGCAAAGGGCCTTGCATCCGGTCACTCCAAAGAAAATCCCGGCTTCTGGCTACACACCGGCGGCACCGGCATCCTATGCTGGGAAACAATGCGTGACGACAACAAGCTAGGCGAATGGTCAGAACGCGAGTACAACGACTGGACCGCTGTGCAAGACCTGACCGGCCTACCAAAAGACGCCTTCCACAAGAACGTCGACGACCTCGTACTTTCCGCCGGTTCCGAATCAGTCAAAACAGCTATCCTTTGCCCACCCACCATCTACGGACGCGGTAGAGGCCCATCGAACACCCGGAGTCGACAGGCGTATGAACTTGCGCACTTGATCTTGACCGGCGAATACATCCCCATCATCGGCCAAGGAAAAGCACGCTGGAACAACGTACACGTCTCCGACCTCGCACAACTCTTCGTCCTGCTCACCGAAGCCGCGGTGAACAACAACACCGACGCGAAGCTCTGGAACGAACAGGGTTACTACCTCGTTGAGAACGGCGAGCACCTCTGGGCTGACCTCGCACGTCTTATGGGTAAGAAGGCGACGGAGCTGGGTCTTGTTAGCAAGAAGGAGTTGAAGGAGCAACAACTTGGTAAAGATAAGGCGATCGAGCAGGCGGGCTTCGAGGCTGTGAGTTGGGGGTTCAACAGTAGGGGTAAGGCGGAGAGGGCGAAGAAGTTGGTGGGATGGCAGCCGAAGGGACCGAGTATTGAGGATACTGTTGAGGAAATATTGAAGGATGAGAAGGCGAGGTTGGAGAAGAAGTGAGAGGCGAAGTAGCTTATCACTGTTAAATAACTCTTATCTGGCAAGGCTTCAGGATGCGTGCAATCAAATGGCACAGTAAGGCGAACCTCGCATATCTTGGCTGCGTTGATAGGATGCTTATGCTGCGCCACAATCTTCAGGCCTGATGTTTCGCACGCCAGGCAGCAGCAGTTGCACCTGATTGCGGTATCAGGTCTCGAGAGTACAAGATACGACAATATTCCGTCCAATTTTAAGTAGGATACTAGCAAAATCAGGCCTTTCTTCTGCCTGTTGTATGCACTGAGCCATCAGCTTACACATTTGAATATCTCCACCAGTATGGCGAGTATCGAAAGCCGCCCCCTTGGGCAACAGGCCCTTCGCGGCTTTGGTATCTTCCAAGCCATCGTTTCAATACCGACAATGGTAATACTTGGCTTCTTTGCATGGGAACAGATGACATATCCCTGGGAAGAGAACTACTACTACTTCTTGTACGTGCACCGTCCACCCACAGACACATTTCACCAATGCCTTCATGCGCAGATGAACTAACGTCTGCAGCGCATCTTCCATAACGGCGCTCATGTCCGCCGGTATTGTGTTCATCGTATACGTCCAGCGCAAGGCCATTGCGACACCGTTCCAGGCGTTCCTGTTCGAGATCGCGAAGTCGGTCCTTGCTACAGGACTATGGCTTTGGCTTATCTTGGACTCTGCGTTTGGCCCGGGTCGAGGTTACTATACAGATCCGAAATATGTTAGGAGACGGGTCCAGCGTGATGCGCTCGCCAGTCTATTGTTGCTGTGAGTCTACGGCCGTCGGAAGAAGTAAGCCAGGGCTAAATTTGTGCAGCGTCTTCTTCTATCCGCCGCTTGGGTACGCGTATGTTGTTTGGAGGACGAAGAGTAGCCATGGAGACGTTGAGCGCGTAGGCGACGATGAAGAGGAGGGAGTGGATCGAGCAGAAAGATCACCGCTGCTATCGAGAAACAGCGGGAGGGTCCTGGGTTAGCGCTGTGGTGTTAGCTACATATCTTGAACACTCTTGCGCAGAGACTCTGATGGCTAGATGTCAGATTTGGAGAAGCAGTCAACCCTGGTCGCTGGCCAGAACAGTCCTTGCAAGTTGTTGTATGTGCGACTAAATAGCGTAAAGTAAAAGTAGTTCTGTTCTAGGGTATGTGACAGGTGCAATTCAAATACTGAGTCTTCCATATAGCTACTCACTGCTCGCACGCTACGTTCACGTACGGCTACCACAGCGAGCGTACGTGACCACGGTGTGACGTGTCCTTCCTTGGGACTGTGTGTTGATCATGTTTCGATAGGGCGTCCCTCATCGTGGAGCGAAATAGACCATTCGCCTTCCTTTTGTTCACTCTTCATAGCGAAGGTATCCGTGTCCGTGTGCCTCCACAAACTTCAATCAAGCCTCTTATTCGGAGCTGGCCCCAGTTCTTCAAAAATCGTTCGGCCAGCACTTCTCCTTGGGCCATGTTGTAGCGTCGTGGCTAGCGGCGTGGGCCTCGAGCTGCGCCTTGTTGGTGTTGACGATTTCGCGGCGGCAGTTCTGGCACTGTATTGAATCGGGTGGTCAGCTATGCGCTATGATGCCGTGCAATGCAAGGGCATCAGGTGAGAAGCGCGAGAGTGCCTACGATGGACGTCGGCTTAGGCGCCTTGACGGGCAGGCCGTTTGCCTTGACTGGCGCGCGGGTGCCGGCCTTGTCAGCCTTCTTGTGCTCGCGCTGGATCTTGGGTGATGTCAGTAAATCCCATACTATGTAGATAACCTTAATATTCAACGTACTCTGTCTTTCTTCGAAATAGGCATGGTGGTGGATCGAGTGGATATGTTGGTGTAGAGGCGAGGGGAAATGTTCTGCAAATAGCGCGGGAGAGCGCGATCACTTTGATCAGGGTCTCGCTTAGCGCGTAGTCTGACAGATAAGCCCCGCTTATCGCCGCCTTGCCTCACACCACGAGCCATACTACCTTCACACCACTGACATCGCTTTCAAGCTTTCGAAAGCTCAGCTCGCAAAGATACAGCAAGTTCTCGAGCAAGAGAATTCCCGTCCGCAAATCTCGGTGTGCACTTGGCACTAATCACGATGCGTCTTGTCCGCTTGAACATGGTACGGATAGGCCGCGAATCTGGACTTCATTGCTACCTAGGCAGGAGTAATATTCTTTTGTGATGCAACGTGAGATGGTAATGTTTGCTGACTACGAAAACTCAATGTCTTCCAGCAGCACTCCGCGCTTTAGCAGCTCTGATTTCGTCAACCTCGGATCATCATCTGTCCATGCGTCTGGTGCACTCCCATGGCTAAACTGTTGCCAAAATTGGCCTTGTGCATCAGTTCTTCGACGCCATCCCGATGGCAATTCAGTGTTCAATCTTGGATCTTCGACCTGAATCTTGCCGGTCTCCGTATGTAGAAAGGCCCAGAAGTAGCTCCCTGATTCCGCGTCATAATGTAACACCTCCTTAGATGCATTTGGCAAGGGACCCAAGAATGCTTCGTTGTTACTGAGTCCACATACGTAGCTTTCTCCGATGATCTTATATCTCCCATTTAAATCTGCACGAATGACCAGGGGAGTGTCGCATCCAAGCAGCACACAAATCTGGTCGCCCTTGCACGCACCTGGGGAGCATATACCGAAATGGTGAGAGGATGTTTTGAAGAACGCTCGCCGGTTGCACGTGTGGAACACCCGATCTGATAGAATGTCCCCGGCTTGATACATGGCAACCTCGTTGTCACCAAGCGTTACAGTGTCCTGAAGAAACGCTAGAACTGACTCTAGACTTGGAAAGGCCTTGGAAGGTGGCACGTAATAGTCCGATACAACACCTCCGCAGATACCAAGGCAAAACGTTTCGGGCATGGATTTGCCATCGACGTGTTCAGAAGCCATATCTAGGCTTTTTGCCCATCGTTGGATATTGGAATTGCAATCTTCGCGTGACCCATCAAAACCATCTACGCTGGTGATCCTACCCAGCCTTATTCCCGTCACTCTCAACACCCTGTCTCGCAAAAGCGCAACCTCGCACGCGGAACTTCCGGAAGCGTGCGATTGCGCGGTGGTGCTTACAACCAAGGTCCTGAGATCAGGTGTCCATGATGGCCAGTCTCTTATTACTTCGTCGTATTGGCAGAGGCCCAACATGTCAAGGCGATGCGACACGTTTGTATAGTGTATCATCAGGTCGATGTATACATCTATCACTGGTTTCTCGTAATCGGGCCGCAAATCTATTCGGGTTCCCGTTCTGGATGACAGCCCCAGAATACCGTATACACGATCTCGAGGATCAATGCATCGAGAATTTCGCATAAATATAAACAAAGTTAAAACCCGTTCATCAAATGCACTTGCAAGATGAAAGCAATGATTCAAGATTGTTACGGCGTCTTCCGATTCCCATGGAATCACACTTCTCTTGTACGCCATACAACACAGCAAAATTTGGAGCTTTGCCCAATGCAATGTGTGGGCGCCGCACATTATCATTGCGTTTGTTTTAGCCAGGCGGATCTCCTGCCATATCCAGAGTCGTTGGAACCATGGTCGCCTCGAAAATCCCACAATCGACTGCCAGGTTGCTATGTCATAGGGAAGCTGTTCTGTTACGTCGCTCCAATGGGCATCATGTGCTTCATCCGACAGACTTCTCAGATCCGCCTTTCCATAATCGACCTCGACCTTCGTAGCGAGAAACTCGCATGTTTCCATGACTGTCTTGCTGGCGGCATCGTCCAACCCCAACCAAACGATAACTCTTTCTGCTAAGCTGAAGATGTCAGCCATCCGCTGGACCTGCTGACCTCTCTCGCTCAAGTCCTTCTGATTAATAGCAATACTGTCAATCCACAACACTCTGGGCGAGACGGGGTCGCGGAGATACGGTAAGGCTTCCGCAAGGTTTTCGGTAATGTCGATGCTGTAATCGCTACTCGACGAAACCCGAAGCCTGCATGGTGATTCGGCTGAACCCCAGGTATATGAGAGCGCTTCATACTGTGGCACATCTTCTTTTGTAAGTCGAACGATGCTGAGGTCGCAAATCACTTCGCTATCTCGATCCGCCGCGGGTAATAAAGTGATCAGTCGGATCTCATCGTTGCGTTCGTCCAGTGGTTGGTAGACGTAGTCTTTACTTCGATCTCTGTCGCGGCTGTAGAGCTGGCGTATTCTCTTACGATAAGTCCTGGCTCGACACCGTAGGGAAGAGGGCGAATAGAGAGGCATGGGTTGTATCGTGTGAGGGGACTGATGATTTTACGAACACGAGACAAGACTGGAAAAAAGAGGCACGGTCAGCATTCTTATACAGTTGGTGGCTCATCTTGTCTGCCCAATATCAGCGCACACAACGGGGTGCACCACGGCTTGTAATGTCTGTTTTCAGCCTTGTGCGGGGTGCTCAGCCTGCTGCAGTGACTACTGTTGCGGTGATTCGCTGGATGATCAGAAATGTGGGAAACGTCATGTATGGCTTATCGGTGTAGAAGGGCTGAATGTACGGGATGCGAATGCGTGCTGAGGAGGCGTTACGGTGTCGCGATACCAACTGTCGCACCTAGCTCGCTCTTCCCATGCTAGCAGCTGCTGTTGCCGCCGCCGCCAACGAAGCGCGCAGAGCAAGGAAGATCAAATCCATCAAACAGATGTCTTCGGTGCGACAACGAACACTGACCGCAAAAGCGAACAACGATCTCGATAAGGAAAGAAGATCGTGAATGCCCACGCACGTGGCGAAGAAGCCCCGAATCGCGGCTTCCACTTTCCACGTTCTGGCCCTTGCCCTAATTGGCCAGCGGAAACAAACAACGCGCTATTTTTATCAGAACTTCCGCCGCGCTGACTACCCAAACCTCTAATTCCTCAGCGCGCCCTCAATAAATCTCCTAATTCGCAACAGCCTGCACGCCGGCACAGAAAGCCTAGAAGACTGCCTTGGACAATTTTTGGTCGATTTCCTAGTACAAAGACAACAAAATGGCGCGTGGCAACCAGCGCGACAAGGCTAGGGAGAAGAACCTCAAGGAGCAAGCTGGAAAGGTATGTTCGAGCCCCGTTCCTGCCGCCGCGAACAACGGCTATCTCTGTCGTTGGTCTTATGAACAATAAATCGCTAACTTCCTGAACAGAAAGGCAAGAACACTGTATGTCTACACTAGAAAGACTCGCTATATCAGCCTCGAGGGGGGTGTTGGCTAACAACAGGCTGCAGCAATCCGGTACCGAATTCGCGCGCACCAAGGAGAACGTAGCAGAGATCATGCGCGCTAAGCAGGCAGCTGGTAAGCTTCCCATCTCGCATTTCGAGTTTCCAGGCCACAAAATGGCCATGCGATACTGTCGAGACGGCGACGCTGACTCCTTGTGTAGCTGAGGCAAAGAGGGCCGCTGAGGGCGCTAAGAAATGAGCGGTCAGACAAGATGCGCAACGCGAGAACCGACAACATCTTGACGCCACCACCACCATCACAGTCAAGCTGTTTAGAAGCCTATCATCATGAAGCGGAGTTTCCTTGGTTTGGATTAGAAGGCGAAGGGGTGTGCTTGGATTGATTATGGATATACCGAATACACCGATTTCTGATTTTGAACGCCGTGAGGAGCCCATTGCGCCCTTTTCCCATGCAACATACGAGTCTCTCTCACGATTACAACGCAAACAACAAGCACTAACAGCAGTTCTAGAGATGGCAAAGATTGTGAAAGTGCGATCTCTTGGATCTAGCTCTAATACTAAAGATTTTTACAACGTTACAATCAAGTTTTTA